GTGCAAGATGTTAACAATCTAACAAATGAACTAAATCATGCAAAATTCAAGTCACTCTGGAAAAACTATAATAAATTTTTTAATTTAACATATTTCTCAATATATAAAAATTAACAAGTATCAAGACAACATCCAACTCTTTGTATTGTGACATCAGTTGTGTAACATATTTCTTTAAGGTGAAAACTGTTGAAAACAACAAGACTGTTTTGTCTTATTACACAAATTAAAATCCAGCTCCACGTGTTTCTATTGATGTCATTTCCCCACTAGAAAAATGTGTGATGGAGGTCCATGGAAGGCAAATATGTTTAAATAAAAAAAAACAAGAGGATGCAGTGGAAGGTGTCAAAGCAGTTTGGAGAGAAAAACAAAGTAAAGAACAAAAAACAAACAAAAGAAAACGATTAATCGATTATTAAATTAGTCATTGATTATTTTAATAATCGATTAGTTGTCAATTAATCGATTAATCGTAGCAGCCCTAGAAAAAAATACAGGAATTTTCAACAATTSACTTGAATAACACTTTTTTCGTTATGCTGCCATCTTGTTTATGTTGAACCTACACTGATGTGTTACATGTATGTTTTTTTCTGTACTTAAGAGTTATTCTTATCTTTTATTGTTCCAGGAACTGAGAACATGTTTCCTTTTATCATGCACAAATGAAAATTGCTTTTTACCAGTAAACAAACCCAACGTGTTGCCTCTGTGTCGAGTTTAGTTTCTGTGCTCGTCACATTTTAATATTAGCGTTTACGCTAACTGTATTTTAYCTCTTTTCCTCAAGATCCTCATCATCTTCCTCCATAGCTTGAGAATTCATTAACTGTTCTTCAGAAAATACTGCCATTATTGTCTTAAGAAGTTTTACTAAAAAGTGAAACGTTATTTTTTGTGTTTGTTTTTACACAAAGCGTACATCGCTGCTTTCATCTGCTGAAGCAATCTGTCAAAATAAAAGCTGTAACACAAGCTGGTTTATTTAATTTGCCTCCTACATCACAGGACCTGTGATGTGAGTGAACATCGCAATGATCAATGATATATCGTGCAGCACTAAACTATATTCTTTAAAACCATGACACGACTTCTTATAGTGCCTTTTCTGTAAAGCGGTAGTATTGTCTTAATGTTGACACATGCTGTTTAGGGGAGTATCATGTATGAAGCACTTGTATAAATGACAGCTCTGCAATATTGACATGACTCGTTTGAGCCATGACCAGGGTGCAAGTATAATCAATCTCTGCTTTACATTTTTAAGATTTTGGCACCGGCTTGGAACATCTCTGTTCAGTAACAAAAATAAGGCTAACAAATTGGGCCATTTCTTTGCTTCTGTTTCCTTTTAACCATTTTATCACCTTACATGGTTTTATGCATACATTGACCTTTCTGCTGAGAGAGTCCCCCGCAAAGCAATTTTTTTTGCAACGAACGTCGGATTCTTTTGTCTTTGTAATCAAGAAATAAATTGCGATTAGAAATATTTTGATCTTTGGGAGACTGAAAATGGCATGTTAATACACAGCAGGACAAAGTTTTACTCGGCACCGAACAGTAAAATAATCTATTTTGTGGGTATTGTGAAATGCAACATTTCTAATAATATATTTGTTGAAGGCAAATGATCAATATTCATAACTGCATGCCCTCTCTGTTATTTGCTGCCTGATTTTGTGTTGATTCAGCTGCAGCAAACCAGCTAATTTACTACTTATGAATTAGCCTGCACCCTGAAATGAAAATTTCAGTTTTAGTGAATTAAAATGTCAAATTATGTCTAAGGGATATATTGATGATTTTGTTGAATTGTTTTCCGTTTCTGTCTTATCATGTTACACTGTTGCCAACAGCCCTTTGTCTTTGCGTTCTCGTTTCTTCTCTGTAATCTTGCAGAGGAGTTGGAGGAGGAGAAGGAGAGCCCAACAGAGACAGAGCTAACAGAAAAACAGAAACACCAGCTTCGTCACAGAGAACTCTTCCTCTCCAGACAGTACGAGAGTCTACCTGCGACACATATCAGGTATTAAACACAAGCTCGTACACAAAGTGCTGCGCACAGCTCACGGTGTGCAGGCGAACACATCACAAGCACAGCCCATTTCCTTTTGTCGGTGTTTTACATGGTGCATGCTTCCCTTTCTCCATTTTTATCAGGGGAAAGTGCAGTGTCGCGTTACTGAATGAGACTGAAGCTGTCCTTTCATACCTTGACAAAGAGGTAAGCCTGAGGGAGGATAAATGATGTCCATCATTAATGTTTGTTCACTTATGGGTACATCATAAAATACCTGGTCACACTCTGCAGACTTTAAATGCATGAGCTTTGAAACACATCTTGGTCTTTTTTCAAACATGTTGTACTGTAAATTTAAATAAAATGTCTGAATTCATTTCTACCTTGTTACACTTTAAATAAAAGAGGAAATTTGTTTGTTTTTACGCTGAATGTCAGATACCAAATTGTTAAAACAACAAAAGACTGAAGTTTTTAGATTTTTAATCAGCGTGGAATCTACATTTTTATAACTAAAAAGCAAACATATTCTATCATATTGGTTTTAAATGGTTTCATATTATGTTCAACCAGTATCACCAGCTAAAGGCATCAAATAGCAACAAGGTAGAAATCAAATTTTACTTCTAAAAGAAAATAGTTTTCAAACTTAACTACTAGTAAGTCCATCATTCATTGTTTCATTTTTGGATTGTCTTTCTGTTAGTCTATCAGACGATGCAGTGCTGGTTGTTTGTCATCATAAATAAAGATAGAATACAAATAAAAATAGTAATAGATTCAAATTTTAAGATTTCAGAAYAAACATCAGAACCAAATAGATTGGTGGCAGGTAATTCCTACTTTTAGTAAGTAATGTTTTTATTTACTTTTCTTTCTCAGGATACTTTCTTCTATTCGCTGGTGTACGATCCGACGCAGAAGACTCTGCTGGCCGACAAAGGAGAGATCAGAGTGGGACCTCGTTTTCAGGCAGATGTACCTGAAATGTTACAAGAAGGTACTTTATGCAGTTGACTGTTGATCCAACAACGGTTTAATCAAACTTTAAAAGCCAAAATGAAAATGTTGAATAGAAATCTTTAATTGCTAGGTTGACAAATTTCAGGCTTTTTTATAGGTTATCAAAAAATGTTTCCAGTTACGTGGATTGCAAATGTTTTTACTTCCTCCTTCATTATGCAGAGTCATTCCTGTGCAGTTTGTAAAATGTTTCTTTTGCATTTTGCAGGCGAGGCAGACGACAGGGACCAGGCCAAGCTAGAAGAGAAACTGTGGGATCCTGAGTGTCCTCTCACCGACAAACAAATAGATCAATTCCTGGTGGTGGCACGGTACGTCAACTTCAGTCTCCCCGAGTACATCCATCATAGCTTGAAAAATGCAAAATAATCAACCTAACTCTTTTAAGCTTTTGGCTACAACAAAATAAAACTTTGTTTTTTGCCAAGAGTTAAATGTACATTTTTATTTCCAGATGTTCAAAAGGTGGATTAATATTCTCAAGTTAAATTATTTTTATTGTCTAAGTCAATTCATTTCTATGATGTTTTAAAAAACAGAAGATGATCAAAGAACTTCACAGTTTAATCTAACAAAATGATAAAATACAAAGTAAAAAGCTATTAGATATGGGACATTAAAAGAACAAGTAAATGCTTCAGGTCTAATTGGTTCTCATACTCTGCTCAATTTGAAAGCCAGAGAAAATAGACAAATCTAAAGCAGCAATTTAAAAGACTCATTCGTCTCTGTGGTTTGTCTACAAAGAAGTAACTGCAAAAGCCCCAAACACCTTTTATATTTTAATTTGTATCTTGGAACATCTAAGAGAAACTGATTGGTTGTTTATTCTGTAGATTTCAAAGAATGATCAAAGGGCAGGACCATTTAAAACGTAGAAAGCAGGCAGTAAACTGTTAAACCAGAATCAGACAGGAAGCCAGTGGAGAGAATCCAGGACTGAAATGAAAGTTTTCTTGATTTTATTTATTTTTTTCTACCTGGTAAAAGTCAAAATGCTCCATTCTTGAACATTTGTAAGCGATATAGAAACCAACATACAGGATGTTTTAGTTCAAATAAAAAATATTATAAGTATGAATTACTTTCTTCCAGGTCCTTGATGGGGAGATGCAACTCATTTATTTTATAATAAATGTATTTAAATGGTTGGAAACACTTTGATAACGATGCAATTTTCAATTTTATTTAGCTCTGTATTAGAAAAGTCACATCTTTACCTCCGAGGTTTTTACGTGTTGAAAATAAAGAACACTACAAAGTGAAACTAAAAGTCTTCTTGATTTCATCCGTGTGTTTATGCTGTATACTACTAAATGTATGATAGATTTCCTGTTGATGCACGACTTTCTGGCTACTCTTCTCAGGGCGGTCGGGACGTTTGCCAGAGCGTTGGACTGCAGCAGTTCAGTCAGACAGCCAAGCTTACACATGAGTGCAGCTGCAGCTTCACGAGACATCACACTGGTGAGCTTGACGCACCCCCCCCCCGCGCTGCACTCGATCGGGGTTCAAAGAACGGATCGTAACCCTCTGTAACTGGTTGCAGTTCCACGCGATGGATACGCTGCATCGCCATAATTACGATCTGTCCAGCGCTCTGAGTGTGCTGGTCCCAGCGGGTGGTCCGGTGCTCTGCAGGGATGAGATGGAGGAGTGGAGCGCCTCGGAAGCTGCCATGTTTGAAGAGGCTCTAGAGAAATATGGGAAAGACTTCAATGACATCCGACAAGACTTTGTAAGTATTATTTTCTGCAACTGCATTTTGGATTATTATTATCTGAATATTTTATATTCCTATTTATCAGGACACTTGACAGTTTTCTAAAACCATTAAGTTTTCTTCCTCGTTGCTCTTCTTCCCCTACAATCGTATTTTGTTCAGTAAAGTCAGGATATGGGCGTATACTTGGGCGGCAGGTGCTCATGAATACTTTTTAAATTTGTGTGTTTTCAACTGTGGCCAAAAGCGAGCAAAGCCGGTAGCTCTCAGCCTTTGTGGTCTCGATGTCTCACGCTCATGAATAAACATGAAGGCTTCACACCCAGATGGCAAGAACATGAGATATTAATATCATTAATTTGCTCTCTGTCTCTTTTCCTCTCCGCCCTCACTCCACATTTGACTCCTCCTGCTTGTGAAGCTGCCATGGAAGTCTCTGACCAGTATCATAGAGTACTACTATATGTGGAAGACCACAGACAGATATGTTCAACAGGTGAGATGATTGTCATATTTGAGAAAAAAGTTAATATATGAACATTTGTCTTGAGATGTTTTGTTACTGTTGATCTCTTATTGTCGACAGCAGAAAGTTGGACTTAATATTTGCAGTTTGGGCACTAAAATTTAATTTGCTTTTTAAACGTTTATGCAAGAAATTGTTAAATCGAACCAAAACTCCACAGGAAACATTTCAAAATGCTAAAAAAATGTATATATAATTCACTAGTAGGCCTTGCACTAATGCTTTTATTTTGTTAATTTCAGTCATGTACTCAATCTTAAATTCACAGGTATTTTTTAGTCTTCTGTTCTACTTTTATTGGCGAAGTCTCTGGAGGATGAAAAATGTAGTTTTGCACCTTCAAAATGGATTACTGAATGTGACTCCATAAAGGCTGAGTTAAGAAAYGTTTGGCTCTAACATTTCTAACTCGATTTTATCTCGTATAAGACCTGCACTGCCTGTACATCAAAACATATTTGAAACTCCTGCCTCCCATCTGTAGTGTAAGTTGTCAGTCAAAATGTGATCGTACCTCAAGCTCAAGGCTTTAGGACTTAAAAAAAAAACTTTAGAGGAATGATTGCACAACTGTTCAAGGATTGAATAACAAAAAAAAATGCATTTTATGTAAAATTATTTGGTTTGGGAAATGTTTTAAAAGGTGTCAAATAAGAGTGCAGAGGTCACTGCAGTTCAGATCATTGAAGATAAAAAAAGACTATAAAAATTAAAGGAACCAACAGCGAAAAAGGAAATTACTCATTTAAAATTTACCAGCATGATTAATATGAGGGTTAGAGTTTTATATTTAGGCTCCTGAGAAGATTACAAAGTTTTGAATGTTCTTAGTGTGTGAAAGTTGTTTTATTTTGCTACTAATGAAAACATTCTGTTTGTTTCTCTTGTGTAGAAGAGACTGAAGGCAGCTGAAGCAGAAAGCAAACTGAAGCAGGTTTATATTCCCACATAGTGAGTTTCCTTTCTGTATATTATGCATACATATTTAAGTATATTAAAAACAACTCCCAGCTCATATTATTTTGCTGCATTGGTGGTTCCACTTCACTTAACTTGGGTCCTCTACCAGGGTTCTGTGCAGCATCTAGACTGTGATCTTTTGGACAGAGATCTCTGAATATGTTCCTGGGGTCTGTTGAAGCCACTCTTTAGCACAAAGTGACCATTAGGACCACTTTTTGATTCTCCACAACTTCTCTATTTCCTTTTWGTCCTTGGTATTTCTCCAGCTTCTTGTGTTCCTTCTCTCTGATGTTAGTCACTTGGGATTGCTGCATTTATCACCACCACCGTCTTCTGTAGTGTGTTCACCACCACAGTTTGAGTGTGGATCTGGAAGTCCTGCAGTTTAGCACTGCCATTCTCCACTTAACTTTTTGTGACTCCAACTCCTGGACGTTTGTAGTGTTGCCTCTTCAGTCCCTTCAGCTGTGCTCASCTTGCCTCTCTTGGATATCCTTCAACAACATTTATCCTCTCCAAAAGACATCCCAATGTCCTTTCTGTTTATGCTGGGGTTCATTAAAGAGATATCTTGCTCATTTTTTACATGCTGCTTGATGACATCCAAGTAGAGGAGGAGACTACTGACTGTTCCATTTTAGAATTTATATATATTGTATATCAGGGGTCTCAAACTCATTTTCACCAAGGGCCACATGAGCGTTATGGTGGCCTTTGTTGAAGGGCCACTTGTAATGAACTTTGACGGTTCATGTTTAACTTTGCCTAAAGAGAGTTTTAACACATCCTCTTTTAAACACTGATGAGAACTAAGTGTATGACTGACTAAATCTGAAGTAAATACAGAAATATTATTTAGTTTATGGTTGATGCTGACTTTAAAGCAGCTTCTTTTCAGACATTAACACTGTGCTATCCAACTAAATTGCTCAGTTACTTAAAGGGCCAATATTATGTGTTTCTCAGGCATATATTTAAATAATATACCATGATAAAGTAGCTATGTCCTTTAGCTGGGGGGTATTTTMAATYTGAAAAGAGCTTCACTGAGTGAGAACTAATGTTGAGAGCTCAGCAGACAGTTAAGTTTCACTTTCAGTTTCACCCAGAGCCTGCAGGAGTCATGGGCGGGGTGTGTGGGGAGTGGGTGCGCACTGCCATGAGGAAGCTCAGCTTAAAGACACGTCTCGGGGGCATTTCTAGCCCCCACCTGTCGTTTTGCTCCTCAGCAAGGCTGCTTAAAAACACTGCAGGATTTCTCAAACATGCATGAATGAGTCAAAGCAAGGCTTTGGACATGTTTTTTTATGAGAGTATAACATTATAACATGATATAAAACTCAAAAAAGTTGATTTTACATGATATAGCCCCTTTAAAGCCAACAACTCAGGGACAGGAATTTATGAAATTTATTTAAAAAAAATTATTTTGTTGCATTTAATCATAAATTTAAAGTTTACCATTGATATAAGAATCAATTCTCATGTTAAGTAATTTTTTTTGACACGTGTTGTACATGCTACACTTGATGCTGACTTGTGCAGTCGACTTTGAATTGGTTTTAGGGTTGGGCATAATCGTATCGTGTGCAATTAATCGTCAGAAAAACATTAATCGATTAATTTTTGGCACTTGACGATTAATACGATTAATGCCACCAGGCAGGCTAACCGCTTGGTGCTCCTTTCTGCTTCAAATATAACAAACATTTAAAAAAGGTTCTGTAATTTATTTATCTATCAACACAATTTAAAGTTTGATGTATAGCCTGAAGTTTGTAATTTTGACACAATTTGGAACAGATTTTTACGAAGAGTCAATTTTCTCCCTATAAATTGGTCATGTGACTAGGACATAAGGGTGTCCAGGGACTCCAGGGGATTAATCGTCAAATTAATCGTTATCGGCTAAATACCACAATTAATCGTGATTAATTTATTTGCCAATATTGCCCAACCCTACTTGGTTTTTGGAGTTGTCTTTGAATGTTCAATCAGTCCGTTTCTTACTTTCATTTCCCCCCCCTAACAGCAACAAACCCAACCCCAACCAGATCTCAATGACCAATGGTAAGATGGCAACAGTGAACGGAGCGGGCCCCGGGGCCTTCCATACAGCAGGAGGGGGCAGAGCCTGCGAGAGCTGCTACAGTAAGTTTTATTAAGKATTAAGTACAGATTACCAATGCAAGGAATAAAAAAAAAAAGTGCAACCTTCYATGTGTTTCACACTCTAGCTTGGCTGTTTACAAGACTTCACACACAGAGGAGTGTGGCTGATGCTTTGACAGTCAGATAKAAAGAATTTGGACTTTTGAACTATACCTCGTTAGGCTTCTCTTGCCTTGAAGATATTCAAGCACAGCTCAGTTATCCTTTTCTCAGACTCAAACAGGATGAAAATCCACTAGAATTTCACATTCTTCATGCTATGGTCTCATTTAGCAGAAGAGGGTTTTAGGAATATAAAAACCTGAACATTATGTGTTACCACCCAACAATGGACACTTTTGAAGAAGTCGTCTGTTTGAGGAGTTGACCTGAAAAATAATCTCCTGATTTTTATACACATTGTCAAAGTAACTGTAATGACGTTTAATAGTATTGGTACTCAAATGAAAATACTTGCTTGCCGCCTTTTATCAAAGTTTGGGTTATGTGTCTGATTTTCTGTATAAACCTGGACTCTACATATCAGTCAGTTGAATCCTCAGAGGAGTGTTGGTTRGAGCTACATGAAAACATTGTCCCAGTTTGTGTGATTAAAAGCTGAGCTGCAGCCAGTGGAGGTTTTAAACAAATATGAACCAAGTCTAAACACTACCCGACCTCAGCGTCTGCTCACGTTGTCTTTTATCCTTACAGCTTTGTGTTTGTTTCTTCAGTCGATAGCAGCCAAGCTGAGAGAGTCCTCCTGGAACATACATTGATAAAATTATTAAGGGAGTGACAAACCGCAGTGGAATAGAGGTCGATGTTCTGTGTCTGGATATGAGTTTGCTCCCGCAACCCCTCTAACGAGCATTAATGCATTTTGTACATTAACAGCCATGCAGTCGGCTCAGTGGTACTCATGGGGACCTCCAAACATGCAGTGTCGCCTGTGCGTTTCTTGCTGGATGTACTGGAAGAAGTACGGTGGTTTGAAGATGCCAAGCAGAGCCGAGGGCCCCGAGGAGAGGACCTCCCCCAGCCCAGCGAGCAACGTAAGCTCAGCCGGAGGAAGCAAGTTTTAAAACACAAAGAGTGAATGTTGCAGTCAGTGCATGTTTATACGTCTGTCAAGTCTGTAGTCTTGAAGGATGGCAGAAAARCAAAATAGTTCAAACAAAAGATATTATGCAGTGTGTGTCAGCATGGRCAGAATACACATAACTGAAGCTGTCAGGGATTTATTTAGCTTATAATGTACTCTGGCGTGTTTCACATGCTGAATGTTTACGCATTCAAACACATTTTATTTTGACTGTTTCCTGTTTCAGCTGAGAAAACAAGTTCTGTCTGAGAAWTTTTCCTCCCGTTTTAAAACAACCAGATAAATGACTTTTCAGAATGCGACTGCAGATTTATCTTCCTAATTAAGTTTTTAATTAACACTTTGAAGGAAACGAAAGCAGGCGCGCTTTTATTGTAAATAATACAGACGTGAACATTCTGATTGAAATTAAAAGGACAATCTTTACTGACTTTCTTAATTATAGCTTTTATGTCAGTAATGGTAACAAAAAAACATATTTAACACATGTCTAATACTATAAATATTCATTTACAGCTTTTAATTTGTAGACAGTATTTCCACTTCATAAGTGGGCTTTTTTTACAGGCTGTAATCATTTTAAATTACATAAAAAGGGTGGTTAAAAATATTAGACGCATCTTAGTCTTACTCGACACAATCTGCAGCCTCCACAGTGGTGGAAGGTTTAATCAACTTTTCTCTAAAACAGGGATGCCAGTAGGGTTTATTATTGCACTCAGATTATCTTTTAGATGTTTAATTTAAAAACTAAAAAGAAAATTAGATTTTTTTTTTTTTTGTGTTTCAGCAAGGCTATGAATTTTTAAGCGCTCAACTTTTGTAGGTGTTTGACATGGAATGAAAATTAATTAAAAAACCACCTACTGCTTTTAAAGTGGCCGTATTAAGTTGCCTTTGTATACATTTGTGCAGATTTTACACCCAAACATGCAGCTCGATCCGGATTAGTGTGCTGTGATTCTTTCTTTTCGATTATTACAAAGGCAGTTGGAATTTTAGGCAGAAGTTTTTAAAGCTTCTTGAATTTTAGTCGTTTTAACTGTTTTGTTTTCCCCCTSCGTCCCTCCCAGGAGTCTCGCTCAAGGGGTCACGCTCCCCGTCAGTCCAACCACATGGTACCGATGCGAAACAGYGGCAGCCCCAAGTCCTCCATGAAGACCAAGCAGGCTTTCCTGCTGCAGGCCACCCGCCTCACCAAACTGGCCCGGCACATGTGCCGGGACATCATCAAGCTGCGCCGCGCTGCGCGCCGGCCCTTTGTCCCCATTAACTGTGGGGCCATAAAGGCAGAGTGTAAGAGCTCTTTCAATTCCTCCTAACTTCTGCCACGTGGCCACACACACACACACACAACACACACCAACACACGCCTCGCCCACCTCATCTCCCCTCAACTGCCCCTTCATCACCCCCGCTCCCCCTCATCTCCGCCCCGTTTGTCTTTTTCTGTTTTTATTATTATTGTTATTATTATTTTGGTTTTTGTATTCTCCCACCCCGTTTCCAATAAAGACTGGCTGTCCTCATAACTATGAGTTCTGATCATCTTTTCATTCGTGTTTTTATTTTTGTTTATTTTTCTTTTTTCTGTTTTATGGTGTTTCTTGGTATCTGTAAAGCCGAAGTAGATGTTGGAAGAATAATAACACAAAGATTTATTGATAAAACAGCTTTTTTTYCTACACACCCAACACCTGTAAAAGTAGCTCCTTACTGACATTAACATGTATAATGTATAACTTACATTATATTCCWGTCTGAGCCGTACATTTGCTGCAGTTAGATGTAGAGAAAATGTATTTTACTAAGAAGCTCTATTTTGCATGGTGCCACTGGGAGCCGTTCGCCCTCTTTGTGCTGTTCTTACCCAGCAAATAATCCCAGACGCAAATGTTTAATGTTAATCCTGAACATCAGCTTCACTGTTTCCCATTGCCCTTTTTTTATATATATATATAAATGTTTCTCCCTGTTGCACATGCATTTTTCTCTCATCCTGTTTGTGGTTTTGTAAGCTGGATGAATGTGAACTTTAGATGAAGTTGGAACTGCTGAAACTTGAGTGGATGTGGAGAGAGGACGACAAAGAAAACATAGCTGCTCTAAAAACCTGTTGTGCTGCTGGCTGCGTCGCCCTCCGTAGACCAGGCCCACCTATAAGGAGACCAGTCCCCACCCCTCCCCACCTTCCCCTCTCCATCTAAGGATGGACCCTCACCGTCCCTTTCACTCAGCTAATTTCCTGTATTCAGATCATGCAATATTCATACAGATCCATCCAGACGCCTCCTCTGGCTTGTAAATCCTGGGGACAGGATTTTGCCATTCAGACTCATTTCTCTCTCTCTCTCTCTCTCTCTCCGCTCTGCCTCATCCCTCATTTTTTTTATGACTGTTGCAATATTCTCACCTTCTACCTCTTTTTTTTGGCTCTTTTTTTCCTTTCATTACTGTGAGAATGTCAGTCTCCAATAAAGTCGCACCTGAAAGCATTTCTTCCGAGTCCTTGTGCTTCATGTGTCTGTGTTATCTGTCCATCAACTCCACCGCAGTTAGAAGAACCGCAGCAACATCACCCTCAACCCCTTTGTTCCCCACCCACTGCCCGCAGCATGGACGCAGCATTCGGTGTGCGCTCGTCACGTCCTCACCCTTGATGTGTGTGTTCTTTGCAAGACATTTTCATTTGGATGTGCATGTGAGCATGAATCAACGTGTCTTCTCTGCATGTTGGAGGAGGTAAATGGGTTTATTTTGAGTGCATACAGTATTTCAACTTCTGCATCTTCATTTAATGAGAAGATAGGGACAAGAGGGGGGTGGGAGGATGGGTTCTTGCAGCCTTGGAGGTCCTGCATAAACTGACCTGAAGATGTGTGTGTGTTTAGACATGTTGAGGGTGTCAGAAGGGCAGGGGACTCGGCTACCCAAAACCAGAGCCATCCAGAGGAGCACTCTGACCAGTGTGCTGCAGTTTCTAGGTAAAGCCACATTAAGATCCCAGCATGACCAGCCCTGTGTTCTGAACCAGCGACGCATCAATTATTCAGGCGCTCCTCACGCAGCTCCTCCTGTGTGATGTCTCTCTTCCAGAGTCCCGCCCGGTGGCCCACGCCCCTCGCTCCCACCGCACCGCCGGCCTGCAGGCGCCTCCCCCCCGCCGCCTCCTCTCCTCCCTCCCGCACGGCCCCCACGGCCTGCTGGGAAAGCGCAGCTACCATCACCACAGCAGGGCCGAGCCGGACAGGCGCTCAGGTACGCGAGACTCTTTAATCCAGGGCTATTCAACTGGCGGCCCGCGGGCCACATCCGGCCCGCGAGTGACCAAAGTTCGGCCCGCCAATTGGTTCATTCATCTCTTATGCCCAAGTACCCAGTTTTCTACTTTAATTACTTTAAGTTCTCTTGGTTAAACAGACATGTTTGGTATCTACAGAAACGTCAGAATCCTGGCTAGAAGCTGGTAAAAACCATTTCTATGCACACTCAAGACAGTTAAAACTACAAGCAGTTGAAGATAAAATGATGAAAGTGAAAATAAAAGTGTTTTAAAAATTTGGCAATCAGAGATGTCAAAATATTATTTGTGTCAAATAGGAGGCATAATGTGTTCTTTTTGTTTTTGATAATGTGTAATTATCACTACTTTTATAGGGTTCTGTATGTTGTATTCATGATTAAATGCAACAAAATAAACGAACTCAAAGGTAACAACTTGGTTTATTTACATAATAACTTTAATTGCTGGATGTTCGGCCCCTCAGCTGTTGACCAGCAGTAACTGTGGCCCCCGGAGCAATATAGTTGAATAGCCCTCCTTTAATCCCTCCTAATCGAGTTTGTTTCCTGATAACCTGGCGTTTGTTTTTGATGGTTTAAACTGATTTAAAGCAACAGTTTTATAAACCTAATTCAGATTGGAAAAAGTAGAATGGGGGGGGGGGGCGCTATTCAGACCCTCAGAGCCACCTGATCTCTGTTCTTGCCAAAAGACTTTTTATTTTTTTGTTTTTTGTGACCAAACTTAAGGCCCTGCCTATGAACATTTTAAAGATGTCTACGTTGATGATGGAATTGAAAAAATCTACAGGAAGCTTGCATGTAATTCTAATAAATTAATCACATATTTAAATTTTATTAGCAATTTGGACATAAAATGTTTCATAAATTGGCATAAATTATCTAGTGTGGCAGTGCCTTAGAGCCACAGAGCAAATA